TTTTTTTTTTTTTTGAATCTCATCAATTTTAGAAACATTTTTCTTTTTGCAGATCTTCCAGCCCTGGGTTCAAAGAAGGCGACTCGCTTATGCAAAGCACAAGCACGTCATATCAGGAATCTTGAAGCATTTAAAAATGCATGCCCTTGGCAAACTCGCCACGGAAGATGGGAGGCCCAATGTTGAAGTCTTGACAAAGTAAATTATGTTCCTATTCTTTCCACTCATTTCAAACTATACAACCCCTGCTTTCCTATTGATGCCTGTGTCTCATTCGAATATCACAGGTTGTTTAAAGCGATTGACGAAAATGACGATGGATATCTTTCATACTCGGAACTAAGAGCTCTGATTGTGGGAATTCAGTTTAACGAGATCAACTTGGATGAGGATGACGCTGTGGAGAAAGTGATGAGGGATTTTGACAACAGCCGCGACTCAAAAGTCGATCTGCGGGAATTTATTAATGGAATCGGGAGATGGCTTGAGGAGGCCAAGCGTGGCAGAGGTTCTCACAGTGGTCACTCCATGAAGTACATTGACGAATATCATCAGGTACATTACTTTACTATGATTTCTTATTATATTGTTTAAGTATCTAGGGGAAGTTCTGCTGTTTGTTTACATTAAATAAATCACGATAACTACCGCTACAATGTCTGTTCAAATATGATTTTTCCAAATTTTCGGTTCTCTGAACAAGTACATTACTTTTACGAATAATGTAGCTTTTTTTTTTTTTTTTTTGGGTGTGTGTGTTTGTGTGGTTCTGGAAATGTAAGAAATCAATCTTAACAGTATGGCTTGACAATTTGACCTTCTGTCACACATACCAGAAAAATATATTATTTACACATTTCCCCCGCACGGGGCATACATTGTGTTACTAGTTTTACAATAGAAGCAAACTAAAAGCGTATGATATTTATTTTTAATAAATAACCCAAATCTGAAAGGTAGTATGCATATTTATCTATACACAATATAAGGGTTGTTAAATTTCTTCTTTTCCAGCAAACAAAGAGAGAGCACGATCTTCTCGGAGACCAAAGTGATGAAATTGTTGAGAGTGTCGAGAATCCTCAGTGGACTACAGTAAAGGCCGTGCTTTTGTTGCTGCTCGGAACTCTCATTGCAGCTGCATTTGCAGATCCTCTGGTTGATGCTGTCGATAATTTCTCAAACGCCACAAGTATCCCTACTTTCTTCATTTCTTTCATTTTTCTACCGTTAGCTACAAACTCGAGCGAGGCAGTGTCTGCCATCATTTTTGCCAGCCGGAAAAAGCAGAGATCCGCCTCACTGACATTTTCGGAGGTAAAAAAGCTATGTTCCTATTTCGAGAAATATAGTCTCGTGTATTATTTTCATGCAGATTACCAAAAAAAAAAAAAAAAAAACTTGTGCTGCATTATAATATTAAAAGTTAAAAAACTATATGCGATTTCTCAAACACACTTTTTTTGTTCTCGTCCGTTACACAGCTTTACGGGGCCGTGACCATGAACAATGTGCTCTGCCTCTCGGTCTTTTTAGCTCTCGTTTATGTGAGGGGTTTGATGTGGGACTTCTCGTCTGAGGTGCTTGTCATCCTCATCGTTTGTGTTGTGATGGGTGTATTTGCCAGCATCCGCACGACTTTCCCACTCTGGACCGCTTTGCTGGCTTTCTTGCTTTACCCATTCTCGCTGGCGCTCGTGTATGTACTCGACTATGTCTTTGGCTGGTCATAAGCGAGCTCGATGTGAGTATTTGTACGGGTCCGTGAGTTTTTTTTTTTTTTTTCTGATGGAAAATTACCAATAACATGGTCCCCCATTTCGCTTGCTGTAAAAAAATTGAGAATATTATAATTGGTGAAAAAGAGACTTGTTGCCTATCCTTTTGCTTTGGATGTGTAGTTTCGATCATCTGTAGCTTGTGTGGTTGTGTACTGAGATTGGTGTTGTGCATTTACTGTAAAACTCGAACTATCCTAATCTTATTCATTTTCGTTTTCTTATATTTGTGCCTCTGTGTGAAATTTGGTAAAAATTGAACAACATTAGTGAATAACACACAACTCCATGTATTATATATATTTAAGGATAAATTAATTATTTCTTACTTAATGTATCGGTTAAAAAAATAAGCATAATAATTTTTAAAAATTTATAGTTAATGGATTGATTATGCAATTGACACGATAACACGATACCAATTAGTACATAGCACAAATATTTTTCATATTAATTAATAATTTTTTAGTATAATTGTAAGTTATTAAAGATCGTAAACAAATGATGTTATAAAGAAGAAATTGCTTTAAAAATAAATTATATTCTCATTATATATATATATACATATTATTATAATTTTTTATTCTGTTAAACAATTATTTATAATTCAATTTGAATAATCTTGCATAATCATTATAGTTATAGAAGAATACTTTTCTTATGCTTTAATAAGATATTTCCAAGAAAATATAAAATGCTATAAAGAAAAAATGGAAAAAAATAAAAAGTTTCTACAGAGAATTTCCTTTTAAAGTGTTTAGTGAAAAATTACAGATTAAGTAAAATGTCAAACCTTTATAGATATACGAACTGAAACTTACTCTAAAATACAATGTGAATAAAAGTATATACATTTTGTTGTATAAGTATGTATATTTGTTGTAAAAGTATGAAGGATCGAGCCGCAAAAATGAAAATGTAGAAAAATATAAACAAAAAAGGAAAAAAATAAAGAGAAATAAAAGGAACAAACTTACCTCTTCACACTTCTGGGTGAAGGCAAGCCGCTCATCCTCAGACATCTTGGGCCTCAACACCGCGATGATCTCATACTTTTGGAGGCCCGGCGGGCACGGCGGCTCCTCGCATCCTCAACTACAGAAACCCCAAACCGGAAGAATCCGAAAACCCATAATCGGGAACCTCCGGCATCGCCGTCCTCCACCTTAATCGAGTCGAGCGAAGCCGAGCCTAGCACAAGCTCGTGTTTAATAAATAAGTCGGCACGTCTCTCTGCTCGTTTAACAAAACAAAGACATAAGTGAGTTGTTCGCGAACATGATTTGTGCATTTGCGAGCATTCTCAGCTCAAGTGTTTGTTCGAAATTTATAGAAATTTATAAAAAAAAAAATAAACGAGTTGTTCGGAAACAAACTCGGCTGGACCTTCTTGATAGACGAGCTTGTTTATTTGTTCGAGCTCAGCTGATCTACGTAGATGAAAGCCAAATTGAGTTGTAATCCGAACAGTTCAATTCGAATAACAACTTTAATTTTTTTAAGTGAAGGCGTGCATTATTACATTAAAGGTCTTTGGAACAAGATATCACTCGACTCAGACTTACATGATACGAGAGCTTGTTTAGTTATTCAAGCTCAACTAATTTAAGTAGACCAACGAGTCGAGCACAAGTCAAATCGAGTTGTGTTCCAATTTGGATAACACCTCTAGTTTGATGAAGGTACATTATTTGGAAGAGGACCATGACTTATCCACAGTCCATGGTCATAAGAATTCAGAAACATCAAACAAGTTGGCAGCTTTAACAAACAGAAGTTTAGCCGCATTTCTAAAATGCTATGCAAGAAAAAAGACCACATTTCATACTTTCTTATCATTCTCTCATGTCCCAAAAAATTACTGGGCGTGTGTAATTGTTTCAATCTTCCAATTTTCTGAACCCAGAAGATCTCTAGCTCATGAACAACGCCACTCAAACATGCCGTTTAATGAACATTACCTATATTCTGTTTGAGAAAAATAGAAAAAACAAAGAAAATAGTTGTAACACAAATTGCGTCAAAAACCAAATACTCGAGCAGGCTTTAGTACGCTTACAACTTTGTCCATTACAAGAGTAACCAAACACAAATCTACAGCTTCAGATTGAGATCAAGCTTTTCTCCCTTGACCCTATTGCCATTTCTTGAATGCTCTGTTTGCAACTTAATCGGGAAGAAGCTGAAAGCCTGTTCTTTTGACGAGCTTGACCCCGGCTGTTGGCTTTGGCTGCTTTTGAGGTTTTCCTGTTGAAATAGTTCACAAAGGTGAAAGTTTGAGTTAAGATGTAATGAAATGAGCAAATGTGTTATAGAAAAAACAAAGCTTAGTTATCTTTCGCATGACAGATAGAAAAATACCCTTTATTAATCATGATTCATGCATGATTAATAAACTTCCCCTTAACATACATCATTATCCAACCAATTGAGCCGATTGAAGGTGGATATTAGTAGAACAATAACAAAAAATTCGGGAGCCCATTTGTAATATCAATGCACTTTTGTTAATCTTGCAGACGAATCCATCTTCACCAATAACAATAATAATATATTTTGCAGCTCACCTGACTAGACAGGCTTTTGTTATCTGATAAATCGGGCCCTTGATGATGGCCCAGGAAATCGATTGGATGATGCTTGTTCTTCGAGTTTGAAGGTGGAAAATAAGAAGCTACAGGAGGTGCAAGACTTAGATAATCTCCCATTAGCCTCACATCTTCACTTGGGTTCTGCTCGGACAGAGTCGAGTTTGAAGCACCATCTCTAAAGAAAATAAAAATTCAAAAAAAAAAGGGGGAATGGATTCTTAAATAGTTAGAGTTCAAAAGAAAAATGTACATGAGTTCAAAGAATGTACATATGTGAAACGAACCTTGTGAATTTGTTTCTTGGTTCATTGCTAGACGAAGCTAATTCGTCTGATCCTGATACTGAGATACCATATGCAGGATGAAAATTGTTGCTTCCTAGGAAAGAAGGGGTTGACGGGCCTTCTAGAGAGAAGGGGTACGATCTCTTTATGCCAACAACAACCTACACATTTTGCATTCGGAGTAAAGTGATTTGCTTGTGAATCACATTTGAGAAATGAAATTATAAATAAAGTTACTTTCTTGAGAGGAATTGTATACAACATTTTCAGACGATGGTAAGGAGGAATTGTATACAACATTTTCATATGTGAAATTTCCCCTTCGATTATGACCATAAGTTCTTAAAGTTCATCATGGACAAAAATGAATTGAAAGAAGGAACAAGGACAATCTTGAAACAATTCAGTGTAACTAAGGAACAACAATATGTATATACCTTATTATCCTCAGGCCATGATGTTGTTGTATAGTTACTACTACCACAAACATTTTGAATTGAAGGGGGCTCTATTCGGGAGCACGATACAGGTGATGGTGAAATCCCTGAGGACACATTCACCTGTAAATTGTTTATAATCAGTGAACTATACAAAGCAATTCATCTCACGAATATTTCACCAAGAGCATAACAGAGCATGCAATTGTCATCGCAATTTGCATTTACCAGAATCAACCAACAACAGATACAAAAAAATCACCAGGAAGTGATAAAATGCATTTATCACAACGAAAAATAAAATAAATATCAAGAACTTGCCTACAATTATAAACATGACGGTATTCAAACTGACCATTGAAGGAGGAGGCCTCTGGAACTGATACAATCTTTGAGGCCCACCGCCCGGGAAAGGCAAAACCGAACTGGGGTCGAATTGCAAATTGACATTAACTTGGGGGACACCATATGCAAATCCAGCATGATCCACGACAACCCTTTGTTTCTCCATTAATCCTCCTCCTCCTCCTCCTTCAAGGCTGCTGCTATTATACTCTGCACTCCACAATCTGGGCCAATTGCAGACACCCTGAAGTCCAGGGTCCTCACCACCACCATCGCTTGATTGCCTCGTGATCTGGGCCGGGCCCATTGGGCTCAGGGATCTGTACACAGCATTGGGCGGCAAGAAGCCCGCCGGAGAAGGAGCCGGGGCAGGGAGGTTTTTCGGGACCTGAAGGGAGTCGTTGTCCGGGCCCACAGCGGTATTAGCCAGAGCGTTTGCTGCCTGCAAAGCTTCCTTTTTCCTCTGTTCTTCCATCCTAAGCTTTTCAAGCTGGGCAACACCTAATCCTCTCTGGGGTATCTTTTTCTGCTTTGGGGTTTTTGATTTGTTGCTGCTGGCGCCACCGCCGACGGCGGCGGCGGCGGCCGCACCAGTGGCCGCTCCTCCGCCGCCGCTACCGGCACTGTTGCTGCTGGTCACGAAATGTTCGTCCTGAGCCATTTTCCCCTTTGGGCCATCAAAATGAACGAAACTTGGGATTTAAAGGGGAAAATCGACACACAGATGGTATGCCATCAATCAAATCTCGCACCGAATTTGTTTCAAGATAGCCAAAATCTGGGGAAAAAAGGGAAACACACTAAATCTGGCGAAAAAGGGTTGGTTGTGGGGGGCAAAAAACAGCTGGAAATGTAAAGCGAAATAAAGGGCCCGAAAATCTACAGATATTGAGAAAAAATTGAAGGGCATCCCAGTCAAGATTGTCTGAATTACAGAATAGGAAAAGAGAGATAAAAAAAAGATAGAAAAAAAAAAAAAATGGTATTTAAACACCTTGCAATTCAGTAAAGATTGCAACTTTATTTCAAATTCTACAATCCCAGCGAGCGTACTTAGGGAGACAATAATATATGAGATCATATATTCACGGTACGTTGATTTCAAAATTCAAAACTTTTATATAAATGCAAATCTAAAAGCGCCCTATTTGAATGCTTTGCCCCTCTCTCCCAATCTAATTAATAGCACAAATCCTCGCTCTTTCCTCATTTTCATCCTTAGACCGACTCTCTCTCTCTCTCTCTCTCTAAAATATCTTACACTTAATTTTATTTATTTATTGGGACCTCTGATTTCATTAATTAACAGACTAAAAATGGGATCTTCTTCAAAGATTTGATTTTTTTGGAGTTAATATTTGACATAATTTATCGTATATTAGTTGTAAACCATATAAAATTATCTTGTATACTATAACAAAAAAAAAATGTGTGTTCAACATATAAAAAACACTTAAAATATTATATAACGTATGTAAAGTATCTAAAATTTTACTTCTTATTTTTTTGCTACTATTTTTTTTAAAATGGTAATCTTATTATATACATATATATTTATATATATATATGACACATTTCTTTTTATGTTATTTTTTAGGATTTTAGGTTTTAATTGAAAAACATACCCACATTTATTCTTAAAAAATATAATTGTCTAATTAGACGTGTAATACCCTTGAATTTTTTATTAAATAATGATGTTCGGGGAAATTTATGTGAAATTCTTTTTTTAACCTTTTTTTTCTTGACATTTTGTAGGATTTTGCAACAACTGTCGTCGTGGGGCCCACAATCTCATGCAAGAATATCCCTTTTTCAATTTTGTCTCACTTCTCGTGAATTATTCCTTTAAACCTTTTAATATTAAGTGGAATTAGCTTCGCTTTTTGTGTCACCAATTATATTCCCTCATTCCCACTTTTATGTCACTAATTTTCGTGTCACTTTTTAATAACTGAAATCAATGGATTCCTCATTAGTTCAAGTACTATTTGTTTGCAAGATGATTGCTTAATGAGTAGCTAGTAAAGCTGCAATGAACCGAGCGGCTCGCGAGCCGCTACCGAGCGCTCGAGTAAAAGCTCGACTCGAGCTCGGGTTTGACCAAACTTGAGTCGAGCTCGAGCGGCTCGAGCACGAACTCGAGCCCATATTTTGCTTTGTCGAGCGGCTCGAGATAATGTTAAATTACTAAAATACCTCTTATATACATTTTATCATAGGTCCTTAATGGTAATTTTACTTTTTCACTTAAAATTTTTTTAGCCGAGCTCGAACATTTTGATTCGAGTCGAGCTCGAGCTGTAATTTTTTATCGAGTCGAGCTCGAGCTTATTATAATTTTTTATCGAGTCGAGCTCGAGCAGCTAAAATTAAAAATCAATCCTACTCGATAAGGTCAATGCTCGACTTGGCTCGACTCGTTTGCAGCCCTAGTAATTAGTTATTTTGTTTCAAAAGGTAGAAAATGGAAATATTATCACAATTTTAAGGAAAAAAAAAAAACAAAACAAAACATGCCCAAAACTATATAATTTTGAAGCCCTTAAAAGCCTCAAAAGTCATAAGGCAAGCCCATTAATATTTTTCTTTTTGTTTACAAAAGATTATTGAGCCATTATTTTATTTAGAAAATCAAATATATATCATAAATATTATTATTGTTTTATTGGATATGAAGTAATTGCATTAGGGGAAGCGGAAAAGAACTTGCAACTATATTAATGAACATAAAGACCAATTATATAAAATATATAATTTTTGAAATATAACCCATAAAAATAGTTGGTGATATTCTTTAAAATATTACATTTTATTATAAATGAGTATTTTTCTTCAAAATTTATAACAATCTCACAATTAAGTCAAATCGCACAAGCCAACTACTCCGATAAACTCATAGAAACGTATCTTCTTGATTAAAATTGCAAAAAAAAAAAAAAAAA